AGTGGTGATTGGTCTAGGGGCGTTCCTTTTCTATAGCCCAATGTCAGAGTTAGTTGGCGAAACGAGGTAGGAACACCCCGAAAACGAGATGGGCATCAAATGCGCCATTTGTTTGCAATGGTTTGGTTAATGACATGTTTAGCTTGTGAAACGAGGTAGGAAGACCTCTCGAGAACGAGATGGGTTTCCACACACCAAAACGAAATACAGGCATGGAGACCGAGATCACACACCAAAAACGATGCGGGCTTGGAGACCGCTGCTGTGGCTCGAAGTATGCCACTCGCGTTCTCTTCTCTTCCCGCTGTCCTACCTTTCGTGTCTCCCTCCTCTCAAGTCTATTAAGTGCATAGGGTGTCAAGAGTATTTTTTTTGCTTTCGCTTTGCCCTGCCTTCACCAATCGCAGCTTTCTTCACTATTGCTGTAAGTGAGTTACAATTACAGAATAATATATATATATACACGCAGTCTTGCAGTACCACCAATATGGTCATTTGTTTGTACCTACTTCAGCGAGGTCTGCCATCAACTTGATTTTGAGCGCTGGCTTGATATTAACATTTGCCAAACTTAGGCTGAGCATCGATGCACTCCTATTAGCTCCAGAACACAAACTCTAATAGCTTCAACATTGCCCTTTGAATGACAGGTCCTTTTCTCAAAGTCTTCGGGCGGGGCTCCTGGGGATATGTGGTTTGATGTGTGCAGTACGGTTTCTCCCCCTGCCCCGCTGTGGGTGGAAGCTGTATGTTCGTTCGTGGGCAAGATGCAGATGAGTGGTCCGTCCAAACTCCGGACAGGAGAAAGGTTGTTGGGCAGATATTTGCACCGATCGTCAGGATTTCGACATCGTCAAGGTACTGCAATATATTGCAATCAGAAACTATGTGCCACAGGGAGTGGGGACATTCCACCACCTTCAATCCAACACTTCTTGGCACAGGTGACCGTGACCTCCTGAAATGGTTCTCCGACCTGCAGCGACTTGGCCACGGTTCAAGAGATGTGAAATCTCCTTCTTGGTCCTGGTTGTGACCTCAAGGCTTGGAACCAGTTGGACCATGATCCTCAGCCCGTCCTCAACTCCACTCTTGCATGTGTCTTTTTGGTCAAGCTGAGGCCGGAGAATATCTTGCTGCGCCGCACCGCCTATGATACCTCGGACAGTGAGTTCCAGGAACAGTCAGGGACTCTAACCTGGTTATATAGGTGTTTGAAGTCGCACCTGCCACTGCTCCCGGTGGCTTTGTGCTAGACTGCTAGAGGGACAGGCTTGACAGGGGTTGTATTACTCTTGAGCAGCCCTACTGGGCGCAGACCATGCAGCCCAGAAGTTCACGCTTGAGTCCTTTACAAACATGTTCTTGCGCTGCACTTTTACTTTTTTGTTCACAATCTTAGAGTCCACATAGCCTAGCCTAGCCATTCCAAGTTCAGCGACTTGGATCCAGCTGCTTGGGCGACGACGGCTGCTGAGGGTGCAGTCCAGCAAGTTCCTCTCAGAGATGCTCAACCTCATGAGGGCTCAGTGCTCCCCTTGGCCACTGGAAAAACGTATAATTGAAGTTTATGTGCATGTTAAATGTAATGATCTCAGGCAAGATGGATGGAAACTTCATCGACCAAGGTATCGCGATGCCATGTACCCAGATCCCGAGCGTGACTTTGGGTCGATGCCAGCTGAGAGCTTAGCCCAAAGGTTGAAAACAGAGGAGCGCAGTACATGGAAGCTCCGCAGATCCCTTGATTTGTTTGCTGATAAACTCAATAACCTCAAGCATTGTGGAAGGGATCCTGGGATGCCTTTGTCGACTCGCTCAACGTGCAACGTAAGGTGCCAATTATGGCCTTCAGTCCTTTGCTGGACGACTCCTGTCAGCCGGAACACTGCAAAGCACCCGGAGGGCAGAGGGTGTTGAGCGGACATGATACGGCTGACAGGGCGACAGTTGGATCTTGATTTGGATTGATACTTATATATATGTATTTTTAAATGAACTTTATATAGCGACATACCACAGCTCGACGGAACATGGACCCCTGCCAGAGATTCAGCCCATGTTTAACCCATACAACTATCATACAACCCTCCACCCAGGCTAGTGCGATGGAAGCTCTAGCATCCGAAAGCAGCCAAAAGGATTCTTTGATAGCTTGAGATTTGTGGCTGGCCAGGCTTGGGGCCGTTTGACGGAGGACTTCCAGCTGGAAAATTTGAACGCAGGTCACATGGATTGTCTTCAAGCACGAGCTGTGGGGGCTGCCCAGTGAGGAGGTGTTCAGAGGTTTGAAGTGACACAACAATACAGCAATCCAAATTGTAGTAGAAGTGCGTTCGCAAATAAATACATTATTACTGATGACGGAGGTGACAATAACATGACACAACAGGTGTTCATGGACCCTGCTTTCGGATGGCATGTCGTGAGGCTCCGCTCCCTCCCGATTTGAAGCTGGAACTTCATTGCCCTCTCCTCATACCTGAGGCAGGTTTCGGCCTTCCCAGAAGCCCTGACCGGTCTAACATAACTTCCATAACTTCATACCGGGCTCGTTCACAAGTGTGATATCAGCATTGAAGTGCCAGTTGATTGCCAATGAAACCCAATCTAGCCTGGCGGACACCTGGGCTGTAATACCGTATATATGTATATGTGCTTCCTGCTGATGCACCAGCCAGATTCTGCAAATGACGCCAGCGATGGAAGAGACCTTGCGGAACTTTGCACAGGTGGTCAGCTTTGCACTTGTTGGTCACAGTGTGCGCAACATCATATGATGCGGTGGGCCAACAGACATGGACGCCGCTTTCCACTTTGCTTTCATAGTCCGTGGACACTTCAAGTACTTCAAACTCTTCAAAGCTCTTCGGTTGAGTTGTGATAGCTGGAGCATCGCACCAGCGATGTTTGCCGGGTTGTCGGTGGAATGCCAACGAAGCACAAAGGCCTCTCTCTTGATCATGGCGCACCCTGATTCACATGCACAGGTTCAGGCCAATCAGCGTGGCGAGGGCACCAGCTGCGAGCTTTTCGAAAAGATTTCGCAGGAGATGTGTTGCAAGGACAGAGTGGACGAGGTTGATCATTGTGAACCTTTAGATTCCCATGATGTTCCCTCTATATCCACTCGCTAGCCGCTAGAATGCTCGTATATGCTCGTCCACTATTGGATTTGCCATTGTGGACAATAGGCCATGTTTCTAGAATCTTTGGGATGAAGCAGTTCTTGGGTCTGAGACCGGTTTGAGATGATATGGTCACGGAGGTGCGCCCTGTGTGCCCAAAAGTGACTGGGGACAATGACAGAAGATTAAACAAATCTGTCCAGCATGATGGTTTTTGATACGAGCAGGGAGTGCAGAATGAAATGCTTGGCCAGGACCTTCAGCAGTTTTTGGCGTGAGTGCCTGGCTCGGCAGCATCATCTTCCCATGGCTTCAGCTGAAGCCCAAAGAGCATGGAACTTTCGAAAATGGGATGCGCTTGGAGCATTTTCGGGTGAATTCTGGCTTGGGGTCCAAAAACCCTAGCAAAAAGCGGTCTCGCCACGGAGGGCCTCTCCAGTAGGTGAGACCATTGGAGGACCACGAGAGTTTTTGCATGTGTCGTGAGATCTTTTCGTTCATTGTTTCGGAAGTTGCTAGAACTCGTCTAGATCCAAGTTGAATCGAAAGATGTGCATCTTAACTCACATCTCGTTACCTTGAAAAGGAGGTTCACCCCTTTTGAATTTTTCTGGCAGGAGCGCAATTCACGAGAAAGGGTTGTTCCATAATTTGTTGATATCTGAAACATATTTTGATGAGATACAAAATGACACATCAGAGTGAGTGTCATGCTTGTGCCATGGATCTTTAAAACCCAAAGTGGATTGAAAGCGGGGAAAGTGTTTCGTATTCAAAGTTCGAACAAGGTTTGGTCAAAGAGATTGCATATCCGATTTGTTTGCAAATGTGAAAGTGAACATGCACCATTCAACAATGTCGATTACCATGCTACAGAAAGATATAGGTTGAAGTTTGCTAGATTTCTTGTTCATTCCTGGTTGCGTGACCAATCGATGTCAAGGTGATCCTTGCGGCCGTTGGCGAGGCCTGTTGGTCCTGATCAGGAACAGATGATCTTCGCAGATCTCGTGATGAGAGTGCAAAAGCTTGAATGCGTTGAGAATGCGTTTGCGTGACCAGAAACCAAGGAAAAGGATATTACCGCCTGAGACCAACCTGTGTCTTGGTTCAGGCGGTGCTTGAATAAACAAAAACTCTGCCCATTTTTGGGGCGGACTCTTTTTGGAAAGTGCGCGCCGGAAACGTTGAAAATAGGAGATAGGGAGCCGAAGCCCAAACTAAAAATCCTTGGGCGGCACACTTTTTTGTACACTTCAATGTCACATATGTCTTGGGGGGCCGGGTGTTTGGGCTACTCCGTTTGACGAAGTTCAACCCCGGTCCTTGTCTTTGGCGGTGACTATGACTCACAACTTCAACCGGATTTCAGCGGGGTGTCTAGACACTAGACAAGTCACACATTCTTTTCCATTTGGCGCTGGTGCAAGCCTCAGCTGAATATGAATATGGACTTAAAACATTATAAAGCATGCAGCCTTTTGTGTGTGTGCTGTTGCATATGCATGGAAAAGTTTTTTATTTTTTTTAAAGAACTAGGCTTTTGTGCAAGAGGGCTCACTTAGAGCTGTTATGGAAGATTAGGTGTACAATTGAGTGCTGTTGATTAGTTTCCTCATCGTTGAGAAACTACAGCCGCTAATTGTAAGAATTGCAGCGATCTGCTATTGTGTTTTCACCTGTCGTGTTTCTTGAATGGCACGGTTGGTAGATCATGTCGTCGTTATTTCCAGCAACGAATGGGATAGATCAGTTGTTCTTTGGCACAATTTAGCAATGCCGATTGCTTTGCTCTAGGTGAACGATCTCAGGTTCAAAAAAGAGCAAACCATAGTCTCGGTCCTTGTACAAAACCATGGTGAGATGGTGGCTTGCAACTTCCTTTGCAGTGCTGGGACCCTCAGATCACCAATTTGCTTGACAAACTCTGCCCAGAACAAGGCTTGATCGAGAATGTGACCATCGGTTTCATTTGGATCCCTTTCGAGGGGCATCAATAGCATCATACATTATCATACGTAACAATTTCAACATCCAGAAAAGGACGGCAATGACGTGAGACACGGAAACTGCCACTGGTGGCTTGGAAGACCTTGTCCTCTGCAAGTGGAAGTGGCACTTTCTATCTCTCTTTCCAGCCTTTGGGGCGTATGTATCTCGTCCCATGCTCCGACAACGTTCCAAACCAACGGCCAAGTGCGAGGTGCCTGGCACATGCGGCGCATGAGCATCATCGGGAGGACACGATTTTCGTTGGATGTTCGATGTGTAGCTGTGTCGACGATTAAAGAAACACAAAATCATACTATGAGAACTTGAACCGCCCTACAGCCTACCATCAGGTATGTACCATTGCAGGGTCCTAGTTCAGGTCTCTCAACTTCTCTTGGGTTCAGTGCTTTTCATCGCAGATGGTGTCCGTTGGTACCGGTGCAGATGACCAGAAACCCGGCCCATTGGGTTTCCCGCCGTCACGGTCCCGGCAGGGTTTCGTGCCGGGACTGGGGTCTGCAGCCCTTGATATGGTCGCGTGGGCTCGGCATGGCCCCACTCTCAGATTTTTTGGCCCGTGCCAAGACAGGGTTATCACATGTATGTACGTCAAGGTTCTGGGATGTTCTGGGAGATCACATGTGATGATTTGGGAGTGGTGGGATGATCTGAGAGTGGCGAAGCCAGAGCCAAATCCCCAAACATCGTGGACTCGGAGACCCCAAAGGCGAGAATGGTTAATGATGGTTTGTCCTGGGCCGGCCGAAACGGACGAAGCTCTGAGATGGGCACCGAAGAGGTGGATGGGCATCCTGTGGAACCGGTTTCTGCCGCAGTTCAGGATGCTTTGCACGGACATGGGGCACATCATGAAGGCAAGCGGTTCAGACCGTGAAGACCAGGGGTGCGAAATTTGGAGGTTATTGGCCGATCACGACTCGATTGCCAAATCCTGGGGGTTCAGGTAATTCAAATTCATGTTGAATTTTTCTGGATAAACTAGAGTAACTTGCGTCATTTTTCTCTCAGGCTTGAGAGTTCAGCTGCCCTAAAATCCTAAACAACAATTATTATGGAACTGATGTGGCTCAAACAATGCAACGCAAGTAGCTACAGGGAACTACCTACAGATATCTACAGTAATTCTGTTGCCATCGGTGTGATCCCAATTGGGTAAGATGCAGGGATGCAGGTGGTGTGTCAGGCCACGACGCTGCCAGGCCATGATGAACACGAAGCTCACAGACATGGTGAGACACTTGAACTTTGTGGTTTGTGTGGTTTTCTTTTGGGGAGCATCTTCCAGGTGCCATGGGTTGGGCCAGGTCAATGGTGCTGAGTTTCCAAACCCAGTTGCGGCTGCATGTTGAAGAAAGGGTACTGTAGGGAGAATCAATCAAGATGTGGCCCCATTGTTTTGCAGAGCCACCTGCGTTCATAACTGAAATGCATGTTACCTCGTGAGCATGTCATAGGGATCCAGCTAAAGGCCAGCAAGCCACCGGATTGAGGCCATGGGCATAAAGCTCACAGCCATGGCAGGGCACTTGTGCAACCTCGTGTGTTGCTGCGGTTTTCTAGGCCAATGTGCCAGGGCCTCCAAAAGCTTGGAGTTATTTGTCAAAGACCTTCAGTTCTGGCAGGTTCTTGGACACATGCTGCAAAAGTGGTGGGGGGCTTCAACGTAGGTCATCAGAACTTCATCAGAGGAAATTAAAGTAGTGTAGTAGACTCTTTTGTTCGTGGAGCCCTTGCAAGGACTCGATAGCTTCATCCTGCTTGATGATTGCACCATAATGTACAGACATACATACATACATACATTTTTGTATTCGGCATGTAGGCTAACAGGTGACAGGTGGTACATGGTCAAGTTTCTGTTCATTTCAAGTCCATCACATTGTAGGTGAACATCAGAACAAGTCTCTCATTTGTGGGTGTTTCCCTCCAATTTCCCCACATTCCCAAGCAATTGAACCTGAAAAAAAAGGTGACCATGGGTTCTACCTCTTTCCAGCAATCCTGATCGCATCAGTCAACCCATTCTCAACCCACTTCTCAGCCACCTGGGATGCCTTAGGTGAAGTCCCTCCAGCGGCTCCAGCGCTCAGCTTCACCGGGCAGCGATGATGTTGTGGCAGACCGGATAATGTGACACCTCCGGCGAAGCGACCCCCTTTAAATTGGCATGTTACAGCATGTTTGTTTGATTTATGGTTTGCTCTATGGATTTGCTAGCAATCTTCTACATGTTTCACCCATGTCATTCGCATTTTCTGGGAAGGAAGCACCCACCAAGTTCCTAACGAAGCCTGCGAAACCTGGGGCGGTAGGCGCTCTCCTACCGCAGCAATCCTGGTTGGTAGGACGTCCAGATGGCGGGCGCTTGGGCACCATTGGGCCACAATGCTGCCAGCACTGTTTGCTTGTCGGGTGCATTGGTTGTTAAGATTGGCAGGTTCGCTTCCTGCTCTCGTCCGGACAGTGGTTTTTGGAAGATGGGCAGTGAGGGCTCCTGAGTTGGTTCGCGCGTTCGCATGGTTTTTTTTTGCCGAGGCATCTCCAAGTCCAGCAGGTCCCTTGCTTGGAAAGGGGTCGCCGGGAAGTCGCAGAATGGACGCCCAAATCAGGAATGGTTTTAGTTTTTTTTGCGTAGTTTTTCTTCTAGTTGAAAGAGGCACACAGGCAACATGACTGCAAGACATGACATCATATGACATCCAGATAGATCTGTGGCATCGTCTTAGTAATAGAGCTGCTGACGATTTGAATTACAGTAGCAATTTTGTATTAGTATAATTGGCAACCGCAATTCTAGCGTGTAATCCGTCATTGTGTTTTTCTGTGTTTGTCCCGCCACCTGTGAGCTCAATTCAACAATACAAACTCCAGGAAGTACTACTTGGACAACTGCATCATGTTGCCAAAAATGACTGCAGCCAAGAGGGCGTGATTCTGTATGATGCTCGCCCATGAGGAAAGCACTTCGGAACCCACGGCCCCGACAGTTATAGCAAGATCCTCCAATTCACTGCGACAGCCCGGTGGGACATTGTCAGCTGCACACAAAGCCATGGGTGGATCCACTTCAAAGCCTAACGACTTGGAGGTGGGCACCCGAGACGGCACTCTCGGACACTCGGAGATGGCACAACTCTTGAGCCTTCATGAGCCTACCAGGATCATCCTGTCTGGGTGTCCAATAGACCACCCTACCCTACGTAAACAGGTCTCCAGACAGGGCACCCGGACAGGAAGTGCTAGGTACTTTTAGTTTCGCGTTGGGAGGTGGCGAGTGTTTGGAGCCAGCCGCTCAATGTTTCATGGCGAGGGCGTTGAACCCGTGGCCGGACCATCCCGCGGTGAGGCGGGTTCCCAAAGCTCACCCTTGCAGAGCCGGACGTTGGCCGAAGCCTGGGCTGAGAGCAATTGGAATGTGAAGCCACTTGGGCTACCCAAGTGGGAGAAGGGGTTGCGGGGGCCTGAAGTAGGACAGAGATCAATCTGTGGTGCGTATTGATACATGACATGCACCCAACTTATACAGAACAGGATGGCAACAAAAGCTGACGGTACTCAATTGAAGTGATTATATATTTTGCTGAGGCAAGAAAGACATTTGTAGCGTCCATGGCCCACATCCGTAGCTCACAGTTCAACATGTTTGGTTTTGGAGTGGTTGGAGATTCAGAAAGTTGTTTGTCATGCCAGGTTGATCGGATTGGAACAAATAGCGATTGATTCTCATCAGGTTGACTTGGGAACGTTTCCACTTAGATCGCTCTTGGATCAAATCTTTTTGTATCACAGACATGCCTGTGGCCCGAGCTTCCGATACTTAGTTACTTAGTTTACCAACTCCCATATGAGTTGGGCTGGGCGTTCGAACTTGCCAAGGAAAGTTGGCCGCCGATCTGCACAATCGCAGTATGTGCAGCCACGGATGCAGATCAAGAGGGACTTTGATCTTTGGCTTGTATGATGGCACTGCTACGCTGTCAATGTTCCGATCTGGTCATCTGGTCGAAATGTAGAAAGTAGAAGGGGTCACGGTTTCTGTGGAGGATGCTTGCTATGTCGGGTTGAGAAAGATTTGCGTGAATATGTGTGAATTTGTCTTTTGTGCATCGATTGCACACATTTGCCATCCCTCTCTCATCCTCGATCCTCTCTCTCTCTCTCTCTCGCTCCCTCCCTTCCTCCCGCCCTCCCTCCCTCTCTCTCTCTCTCTTTTTAATTATGTCTCTCTCTCTCTCTCTCTGTGCTGCAGGTGCGATACACAGTTTTCTTAATTTTAGTTCTTTTTTCTTCCCATCGGGGAACCTTGTTCAGAATCTTAGACGAAGCCATGTGGAGTCCAAAAGATCTTGAGCAAAAGTGTTTGGCGAAGAGAGCGAGTACTACTAGAGGGCTTGCCGCTTTCGCCGGACTGAGGAGGAGGCCAAGAGGGTTGCCATGATGCCCCGTGGCTGCAACAAACGTGAAGCGACATCAAGCATCATCAAACCACATCAAATTCCTTTGCAGCACATTGTCTTGCAACAAGAGTTCGCCTTAGAACACCATCGCCATGCCCTGTGAAGTACTGTGCCTCTTTCGAGTTTGGGTACCTAGCAATTTGGACGGTGTAGCAATACAACAAGAGCCGGTTTCGGTCAGACTGAGACCGAGGAGGAGAGCGGGTGAGCGGTCACAAAAAACCAGTTGACGCCTGAAAAAGGTTGTGCTATCCTCTGGGCATCAGATTTTGTCTAACCATGCAACATCAGTTGAGTGTTGGGTGTGCTATCAGGATTTGGTCAACATCGAGGTTGCTATTCTGGTGAGACCAGTCAGTGGTGGCATCGCACATGAACTGTTCCATTCGTGTCCTTGTGCCACTTGTTCTGGATCTGACTGAGAGGTTCGAGCATTTGGAGCACATCGATGACGACCTGTCCTGGGGTGGTTTGCAAAGTGCTGCCTCAGCAGCAATCAAGCCACTCAGGCCGTTTCGGCATGTCGCAGGTTAGGGCCAAGGGTTAGTTAGGGAGAAACTTTATACAACTCTGAAACGACCGGCCACTCGCCATTCGGGCCACGCGTGTGTTGATGGCCCGGTCGAGGCTCCTGAAGACGTGTGTGATTCTCAGCCCCTTTGCGGCCGGGTGGCTCAGTGTGGCTTTGCGTCGGAGAGCGGATGCATGGAGCGGGCCGATGACGCGAGGGCCCCGGACCGATCCCGGGGAACGAGTTTGATTGCTTGCGAGTGCTGGTTTTATATGGTTTTATATGGTTTATATAAACATGTTTTATATGCTGATGTTGCCTTTGGATTTATGTTTAAACAATGTTTAATACATTTAATGGTTGTCAGTCATTTACGCAACCAGGGCTTTGTTCAGCATCAATCTGCCTGACCTGTGGAGCATCTCCAGCGGGAATTCTTCGTACAAAATCCACTGAGAGGATCGGAATCAAGAGGATTTTGGAGACCTCGGAACGCCCCCAAGTTCTTCTTGCGAAGCCTGCATTTCGCACGCAGGTGTCGGCACTGACGCCGCCACACCTGGGCCCCGGTGAGCTAGGACACTCGAGCTTCTACGAGCCACCGGGATCGCTGATTTTGGGGAGGAGGTCATCCTTGGGAGGTTCTGGGTGCGGCTAAACGCATGTTTGGTGTGGTGATGAAACCTCCTAAGCGTCAGAAACGAGCCGAGAAGGCTTGGGGATGAAATTAGATGCTATTTGGTGAAGAACATTGACCGAATTTGATCGGATCTCCATGATTTTCAATTTGATTCGGAGCGGTAAATGAGTTAAAACATGTTCAAGATTATAGAAAACATCTTTCAATAAAAGCCTCGATTTCAAAAGCCCATAAAAGCCCTGAATATACGTTGAATGTCGAAGTGTTTCCGACGTCCTGCGTGCCAAAGCCGCTGGTGCTTCAGATTCCAAGGCATATGAAGCAAACTGAGAACATGTTCACCGTATCCTCTTGGAACGCGCCACCAGCACAGATTCTTACCATTGTTTACCTATATACGTACTGAACACTCCTGCCAAGGTAGTCCAGCACAACCACTCATGCATGGGACTGATGGTCAGCATGATCTTGGGCTTGTGGCTGCCTAAAGCCGGTCCAACAAATTATGGATCACTATCACGTGATGAATTGCTGCACACGCATTCCAGATACCTCCAAGTCCGATTCGTTGGGCCCCCCATACCCCGAAAACAGCTGCTCGGTGTAAGACCGGAGCCTGAGGTTGACGAGGACACTGCTGACTCACGCCTGTGCAGCAAGTTTGAGTGGCCTGGCTTGAGCTTAATATATATATATACCAGGGAATCCAAATGTGCATGTTTTTTCGGTCAAACACGTTCGCACAAAAAATCCATGCATCCGGCCTTTTTTGTCAAATGGACAAATTTTCTGGAATTCCTCCGAATATTGGGTTTGATTGGGTTTTATCAATATAATTGCTTGGGTTTTTTGTCGATAAAATGTTGATAAAGTTTGGGTTTCATATGGGTGCGCTTTTGTACGGTATTGTTTTTTTGTCCATACGGCTAAATACGCTAATTCGTTAATTAAAATGTCCATACGATAAATTCTGTCCAAATACGGCCTTCGCACAAAAAAAGTGTTCATACGCCTTTCCAGGTAGCCGTAGGCGGCCAATGGTTGGCACTGCTGAAGCTGCAAGCCAGCTGCAAGGGTTGTCCAGATCTGGGGCCACAACATTATACAAGTCATTGCATGACGCACGTAAGTTGCAAATCGAGCTAACTTTGGAGGTCCTTTTGCTTTTGGGAGTCCGTGTGGATCAGCGTGAATTTACCACACCCCACAGCAAAAGACAAACCATGGGAACTGGAGAAGCTGCATTAATCTCATGGAGCACACTGTATCCCTCCCAAGTGATCGATGTGCCCATAGACTCCACAATACTTCATCTATGGACCCCTATGGCAGGAGGCAAGGCGGAGGGACTGAACACCTTCTTGGATAATTTTATATGGAGTAGCGTGTCGTATTTCAGACTTGTAGATACCTAGGTCGAGCATAATGATTTTTCTCATTTGGAAATGGCCTACAAGCCCATATATATATAATCTTACGGTTTCTGGCGCTTGATGTCCACGAGGCCGTACAACCTATTGTTTGTGCGCTTTTGGGTGTATTGTTGTTTTTGTTGTGTCTTTTGTTGGCAGCCAAAGGGCATTTTCTTGCTTAAAGTACTTGGGCCAAGAGATGGCAAAAGCTTTGTTGAAGAACTTCAGGCCGTCCAGGCTACCTGGTCCGAAAGCTGTCCAGGCTACTTGGTCCTGGGCTTCGCGTTCCAAGTGGTGACGATGGCCGCGCTGCGAATTTCGCGCCTCCAGCGATGGAGAACGGCCGAGAAGATCATATACCTGCCACACGGCGACAGTGTCGGAAACCTTGTTTTTGTTGGGCTAATGGTATTTGTGTGGGTTGGTCAAGAGTTCATCGGAGAACCCAAATTAGGACACAAGCACCGAAGATGCTTATTAGGGGAGGTTGTGCCACGTGTTATTGTTGGCCCTGGCCTGATGTTGTATTCTAGGCACCCTACACTGGAGCTACCTGGAACGCTCTTGCGATGGTGTAACATTATATCGCTACTTGTTGTTGGGCATTTTTACATACACGCCTGAAAAGATTGCACTTCCAATTATAGATAAGTAGACTAGAAGTTGTGATGCCAAGCGCGTGAACATATACTGTATATAGCATAATATTATAAGCTACTTCTCCTAGACCTTTTTGGGCAGGCAATTAGTTTGGTTTGCAATGCATTTTCCCCGCACTCCAAGATTCCACAAAGAGAGCAGGCTGCTGTGTCTCCCGAAGCAACATCACCATGCATCCTTCAACAGTGCCCCACAGCAGGTGACGTCCTAAAGCCAAGAACATCTAGGACAACATCCAAACCTCGCCTTCACCTGCTTGCCTACAGCCCGGGTGCAAAACATTAGCCTTGAAAAGTGAGAGTGACACGAGTGACACGATACGAAAGACACTAATTAATAAACAAATTACTGTATGGTTTACAAGGTTCCATTGCTCTCGCTCAGAAGTTCCACTGCAGAATATGACCACCTGTACACTCAGCTTGTAATTGAGCTAGATTGCATTAAACTTAGTTACTTGTTACACTCTTGATATATTCTTGATATACAAGTTCAAGATAGTTCGAGTGAAGCTGTCAAATTCTTACGTGATCAACGTCAATCCACCGATCCACTGGCTCAGCATGGGCACCTCGGCATGGGACGTTGCAGGAATGGGATCCTTTTTCAAGAGGAACGTGCTGCAGTGTCCGTGATGTGCGCTTGGGCTGTGAACTTCTCTTGGTGGAGCCCACCTCAGGAGCCCAGCAAACGCAAGGCTTTTGGGAGATGAACTTCCATTGTGATCCATTGTGGTGACATGTTCTGTCAGGATACACGTGTGCTACTGGCGCGGCCCTGTACTTGCATATTGCTGCTCCTGTTTTGTCCCTTGGAGCAATGTGAATCATGTTGAACCAGTGATTCCCGCATATTGGATCGTTGAATCGTTGCCCTGTTGAAGAAACATGAAGATACATGAAGATCGTACGTCCAATCTGCACCCAAAGCCATCAGATTTTTTCTTCAGCTACACTTCCGGCTACTTTCCCTTGGAACTGGGTCAGACATCAACGTGCCACCTTTTCTGAGGCAACGCTCTGAAAAAGATGTTGGAGTTCTCCTTCCTTCGATCCAAGCTCGCCCTAAACTTCGAGACCGACGTCTTGGTCAATGCCTTCGAGCGGGCGGCCCTCGAACGCGTGGCAGACTTTGCGTGTTTGGAGGCGCAGAAGTGCCGTCAGGTGAGGGCAGTGGCTTTCCAAGACCCTTGGGCCAACAGCGCCCTGCTGATCTGAGCATTTTAATGAGAATGACTCTTGACTCTTGATTAATAAGCCCCACCCATGTGGAATGAAAAACCGTCTATGCTTCTTGAAATCAAGGCTCTAACCCTTGGTGTCACCGAACGTCTTTCCGAACTGCTCTTCGCTCCACTGCACCAGCTCGAGCAACACCCCCCGGTCTCCGGTCGCACCGAGCCGCTTCGCCTGCTTGGGCCTGCGTTTGGCACGTCGCAGACGGCGCCAGCAGAGCTCTTGGAGTTCCTGCAGCAGACCACCGTGCTGCCGATCTTGCAGGAAGAAATGCCGGTAACAAATCTGAGCGGAAGAGATCGGTAGATTGCTTTCCGGGTCAGCAAGTAGGGAAAGCAAGACCTGCAGAACCATTAGGGGCCGAGCAGTTTGCTCATACCCATGGGAAGTTCCTTTCGAGTCATTTCTACCTTTCAAGTCAGTTTCTTGTCAAGAAAGTTTCAGCTCAGTTTGTTGGGAGCTGGTGCTGGAGAGAAACTACATAGTGTGCACACTAATTTACATCTTCGGGACTTGAGCGGGGCTTCACCGATACTTCCTTCCTATTTATACTTGACCCATGGCCCATACCCTTTTAACTTCCTGACGCTTACCTTTCAATAGATTGTGGGACAACAAAAGCCGAATCTTTATCCGCACTACATTTGCAACGATGACGACGACAACGCCTGCTGCTGCTACTGCTGCTGCCATATAACTTTCTACTACATGACATTATATGACCACGACGACTACTAATCCTGTTGCTACTCCACACCACTGCAACTACCATGACATTGCCGCCGCCACCACTACCACAACGCGGACTTCTGCTGCTAGCACTAGTGCTACTAGTACTACTACATCTACTACTGCTACTGCTAACTACTAACTACATACCAACTACTATACTAACTATTACTACTACATACTACGAACTACAACTAGCTGACTGACTGATTGGTTGACTGACCACCACCACCACCACCACCTCCACCACCTCCACCTCCACCTCCACCAGGACGACGACGACGACTACTACCATCTACTATCTACTATCTACTATCTACTACTACTACTACTACTTCTGCTACTGCTGCTACTACAGCTGCTACTGCTATATGCTTTTGCATTCTCTTAGGCACACCTGCAGATGCTGTTCCACACGTGTACCAGTTTTCTCGTGTGTCCAGGATTGAGAACTAACACCACATGCCCCAAAAAGACAGAAGCCCGCACAGCCGTCATTTTGTAGAGTCCTGGGACATGCGAAACCGATGATAACCGATACGGGGCCGACCCAACTTTTGGCCGCCACTAATATGGGCCCACACCCACCGCCAAGGGTTTTTAATTCGATCATGTGAAGCTTAAGGGCAAAGAAAGTCGGACAAATCATCAAAGGTCAGATGCCCTCAAATGGCCCACGTCCAGAGTCCTTGTATGTTCTTGTGTAGTCCCAAAGTGTGGCTGTTTATGGGTGCATGATGGTGCATGGTTCGGGACCTCTCACTACTTACCAGGACCAACTGACCCATGAAAAGTGGATTGATTGCGCCCAATGGCTTTGAGCCTGTTTAAGTTCGACACACACACACACACACTCTGGTACATTCTGATACGTTTTGACATACTTAGACATGTTATGAAATGTTACCCCTCATTCATTGCAAGCAGGATGATTTGCGGATTTGACCATTGTGCCGGGTTGAAACGGCAAACGCACAATACAAAAACATGTTCATACATGTTTGCCAAATACAAGGGTTCTTATTGCTTAAACAATTAGCCAAGCAAACATTCCTGGAAGGTCCTGTTCATCACAGGAAATCCTGGTCTCGTGTCATCACAATTTTCACACATCGCTGCACACCTTGAAGCCTGGTGAGGTACGGACTGAGTTGTAGACATACAAGGTGAGGGGCGGAAACTAAGGTTCGATAGTTCGATTCCAATAGAATTACTGTATCAATCATTGAAAATGCGTCGTGCCGTATGTAGAGACGGCGGAGACGTGCCCTCCCCCCAGACCACCACAAATTACTGTGTGTATCTTGGTGTCGGGTCTTTTTCAAGAGACTGTCAGTCACACTATGGCGCTCCGTGTCTTGTGTTGGCATGCAGATTTTTTGCAGGATCCTCATGCGTTCGAGAAACTCACCGCCGAACACCTACGCAAAGCCTATGCGCAAGGCAATGTGGAGTTCAGTGTGTTTATATGGGCGTCGTGCAACAATGCTTATGCAGCTCAAATCCACACAAGAAGATGCCAAAGAAGTTGCCAAAGATGGATAAATATTGAGTGTTCCTCTCCTTTCCACATGCACCTGGCCTCGAACACCATGAAACTGCAGGTGGTTCCCTCCTTGGCAGGTCGTTCCCGGCAAGCGCGCAACTACAGCGGCTCCTTGACCATTCGCCCAGTGGGACGGAACCTGGAGATCTTTCGCGCGCTCCAGAACTCCTCGACGACGTTGCAGCTTGGCTCAGTAAGCGGCAGAGGACACGGTATGACAGGGGTATTGTGAGAGAGGTTTTGAGGTGTTGGGTGATTTTTTCAAAACTACGCAGAGCCTCAAAAATGGCAAGGAACCCTGTATATATATATATAATCCCCTCGACATATTAAAAGACACGGCCCCGGGGGGGTACGTTTGTTCATAGGCACTCGGGATTAATAGCGTCAATAAGGTGATTTTCAGAGCACAGTTCTGCGTTTGGGTTCAATTATGCAATTATACCGTTTTCATGTCGTGGGGGAAGGATCCGCCCTGAGTTGCACTTGTTTTCTTTGGACACTGGTGCTGTGCCCACGTAACTTGCGGCCGTCCACCTTGCATGCCGCGAGAACGACTGCAGGTTCTTCATGAAGGTGGATGGGAAGTTTCGTGAGATTGAGTCCGCTGCCAAGCTGGTCTACAAGAAGATCATTGGAGAGGGTGGCGTGAAATGAGAGATTTGGGCCGGCGCCACGGATCCTGACTGTCATGAACCACCCGCCTGCTATAGCACAAGTGTGTACATCATAAAGTATTATAGTGACACCAAAGTAGCTAGAAAACTAATTATCGCAAATACTACTAGTAGTGACCCCAAAGTCGCTGTATTATAGTCAACACCTTAATTTGCCAAATACATTATAATACAATATAATACATATACGGTCACTCATTTTAGGCCACTGTAAAGAATAGACGCCGTAAAATGTTCAAAGAGTGATCCTAGGCATGGACTCAAAGATCAGACGTGTCCATCACGGGGCGGCTGGGGAGTGGTAGAACCATGAAATCGCCTTGATTATAGATCGATTTAACGCAGCAGTATGCATCCAAAGTTTAGGCCACCAACTACTCGCATAGGTTCAGAACTCTCCCCACACAGTCCATCAAGAAGCTCCTAGGAGCAAAGGGCATCGCTACTAGGAGCATTCTTACCACTACTAGTAGTAACAAGAAGCCACGAACGGAGCAGAGTTCTCTTAGATCTGGGCGCTGAGGTGGTGAGGAAGCAGATGAGGTGGCGAAGTCCTTCTCCTTGCCTAGCCCCAGTGACAAGGGCGATGAGCAGCCCGAAGTCGAGAAGCTTTGCCAGATCGAAAGGAAAGGAGGCAAAGCTCGGTGATTTTGAAGACCATGTTAGGCTTGGCTAGAGACAAGCTTACTCACCACGACTACATGTTCAATGTAGTCACATCGTTTGTTTGTATGCGTGTGTTCATTCATTTTGGGATGCTTCTCATACCCAGTTCAGGATCCCAAAGTTGGCTCCCAGCACGTGTTGTGGCAGTAGTGTGTGTGTGTGTGCATGTGGTTCGCCAAGGACGCCAAACGAAGATGAGAAGAAGCTCTTGTTCATGGACCTCGCCAAGATCATGCCTCAGGTTCCATGAGGGCGGGCGGCGAGGGACATCCAAGGAACTACGTGTTAACCACCTGCCGCATCACAATTGAAAGGTCAGAGGACACCTTGCGTTTTTGAATGCCACAGAAGCTGTCACGGATTCGAAATGTATTGTATTGTGAGATATTGTTTGTATTCAACAGTCGCAACATGTTTGCTCATTCCCTATTGGTAAGGCCTGAGTGGGACTCTAAGTCTTTCATAATCTTTCCATGTTTGCGGAAGATTGCTGCGTCAATGGTGTGTGAGTTTTTGGGAGCACTATCTCACCTGAAACGGGAGATGTGTTCAATCAACCCCTGAAAAAAGGAGAGCAGTGCCAAAATCCAGAGCGCATGACGAAAAAATACCATAGTAGCGCAGCGCGTTCGATTGCGTTTACGCAGCCTGCTTTTCGACATGGGAACCTGCTGTTTGCGTGTCAACAAATTGAGAAATGACGAGCACCGTGGCCACTGCCGGTGATGCGCGTCCGAAATTGTGTTTGGTCACTGCCGGATGGTCACTGCCGAGTTCGCCGTGCCCCACGGAGGATGAAGCCGCTCGAACTTGGGAAATCCTCACCAGCCGCGGATGTCAGCAAGTTGGTTCAGACGATTTTGGTTGGGCAGTGAAAGGCCGGGGCTGGATGACTTAGAGGATGAACAGAATTTACAATTGTCGGGGCAGATAGTATATAGATCACTGGCGGTGCCAGATAACCATCCGGCGCGTGAATTGTAAGCTGGTTCGCTTTTGGGCATAGGATCTCTAAGAAGATTAAGCAGCTCGAGAGGACGCTACTAGGGGCTCCAGCTCGCAACAGCTCGTGCGATTCGAGGCGCCTTCGAACGCTTTCACATGATCGCAGCCACAGCCACTGGGCAGCGGCGGATGTGTTGGGTTCTGGGCCATGCGTTCCTATGGCTATGAGGTGGTTCTGGTTCGAGTGCGTTAGAGTTCGGCATTTGTGGGCATTTGTGGACAGAAACCTGCCATCCTGTTCATAATCATGTCCAACAAGGTTAACACTGGTAGCAGAGAAACAAATCAAGTCCAACAAGGACAACATTTATAACTGCAATGCGTATAGGCACGATCCTATTGTCCGACTTGTTGTTGTTGTTGTTGTTGTTGGCTCCATATGTGCCAGTGCCGTGCAATTCTCTCAATTTGTTTGTAGGGCCTCTAGTTGGTCGCCGTTACAAGCACTCCTCTTGACACGCCTAGCTCATGACACTCCTGTTCAGCGATCCCGGTGGGCTCAAGTTGACACCAGTGCTGCGTAGTTGGTGGGTTGTTGGGATGAATCCACGTGGATCCCCCATTTCAAGTGGTTTTCGGCCCTGGTGCCGCGCACGCATCGAGATGGGACAGAGTCGGTAAGAGGTGAAGAGAAGGGTCACAGCTTGGCCAGCTGTTCTATTGCTTATAAGGATTTATAAGGGCAACTAGCAGTTTTTGTTGCCTATTTTTCTTGCAACTGACCATGGCCACACGACCTCGGAATGCTGCAATCGTCACTGAACGGCATTGCTCTCATGAATTCTGTCTCGGGGGCTTGGGCAGCCTTGGATCCCCTAAAGCCAGCAAGCTGCCTTTGTAGGAGACAAACCAACTTTTTACCCTTGTACGTAGTCGCTGTGGTTGTGCAACCTTTTTCCTGAGGTGAAGGACTTGTCAGCAATTTGGCTTGTCTTCAGCAATGTGGTGAGTGCCGTTCATTTCTTACTTTCTGTGGCCATCGTGCTTGGCTTTTTCTTCCCGGCCCAGGCAGGATAGGCGTTGACCACCTTGTGACAGCGGTGTTGGGAAACATAGTAGCAAATTAGTAGATTGCTGGCACTGCATTTGCAAGATGTTTTCAGTTTGAGACCTGCACATGCACACGGTCACAGAATTACCTAAAGCATGGCCCATGGGCCCATAGCTGTTTCCACACAACCATACCACGCTGACTAACACACACACAGACGTTATGACATGCACTTGTTCTCAGTCCTCAGTAGTTTACAGTGAAGGGACACGGGCACCCCGCCTTTTTTCCAATGCTGATAAACTTTTCCCAAGCACCGCGGAGGTTCTGCAGCTCGTTCAAACTTGGACCTAGCACCTGCCCGCCCCTGTCGCCATACTTCTTGACCGCTCGGCGAAGGTGTTGCGGACCGTTTGCCTCAGCATGTCAACGGTTGCGCTGGGGTTGTCTTTCATCTTTGGGAACTTGCTCAAGGAGATTTTCGAAAGCTTGGTGCTTCTGCTAGTGATTCACCCTTATGATGTGGGTGATCGTATCCTGCTGGGGGGCAGCTCGACAATCTACACAGTTCAAAAGCCACTTGGCATTGCCAGGTTTTGCACGTGTTCGTTGTGTCAATGGTTTTTTGGGCGGGACTATTGTGCAGAGACCTCATCTCGCCTTGCTTTTTTGTGCAGTGTCAAGTTCCCCCACAAAGTATCAAAGGCCGCATGGAGGAGCAGACCTGTTGTTTGTGTTTTTTTTTTGCGGGCCTTTTTGCTTATCATACATTAAGTGCACAAGCTACACCCGGTTAAGTTCAGAGTAGATGGCACAAGCAATGCACAAGCCAACAGGGGACTTTAGCTGGAGACTCCTGATAATCAACATACAATTGACAATGCCAGCTGCCAGTAGATGGAACAGTGACGGGGGTTCCAAGGCTTATATATCGTTTCAATGCCGGGAGATGTCCGTGTGGGAGCCCCCCCGCTGAAAGGTGTTCTGGCCACGCAAGGATCAATATCCTCACAACCGAAGCGCGAGATCTGGCGAATCACTGTGTGTACTTGAAGAACTGCAAGCTCTTTCACGAGGCCAGCTTCTTTGGATTGGCATCCGCACCTGAAGATAAACCAATGGAACCGTTCTGGAGCACACGGGCCTTGAACATTGAGATCGCTTGGGACCGAAAAAGAAAAGCCTTGCCGCAAAATCACCGCTTTCCGTTGAGATTTCATATCAGTGTTTTGTTGACCTACCTTGTTGGCTGTGAGGACATCTTGAACCTGGGGCGTTCCCTGAACGCCGTGGTGGAGATCCAGATCGTCTTCCAAAGCTCCGAGCTCTCCACAGAGGTGATTGCAAGGACGAGACGAAGAAATTGAGAGGATGTGCCGTTCAAATCATCTTCCCCGCAATGCCTTTCCAAAAGGATCATGTTCATTGTAAGTCATGACTCATGACTGACCCCGGAATGCGGGATTCCGTCCATCAACCACCAGCATGACCAGCAGGAGAGAGCACAAGGGGGATATGTTTTGGGGGAATTTGGATTGTGGTAAGGTTGGGGGTGAGTCATGTGACGTTCAGAATGCACTGTATAGGCACATGGTTTGCTGAGCCTGTGATCCCTGTAAAGAACTGGAGGCCGAACAGTCCAAAGCAGGACACTTGCAAACTTGGTGGGCCTTCGTAAGAATGTGTGTCTTTTGCTGCCACCGATGGGTTATGATGATGTACTGTGTGCATCATCCTTGTATCCACTCTTGCATGATTGCGATGATTGCTTCTTCGAGGATCAACTCCTTTGCTGAGACTTACATCAGGAAGGAACAAGAGGCACGGGTTTTGACTCCCTCTCACATGGCCCTTCCCAATGGTCTCCTTCGTGATGGTGGGACTAACATCAGAACTTGTGGTCTCCTCATGCTTCCTGGCTTCGCACGCAAAAAAGTCGCCCAAAGCTCCGCCGAGGTGTTTTCTAACCACAATGGTTTGGATGCACACTTTCAGTGCAAATAAGTTGGTCCGTAGGTTCTTTGCTTGCCATGTTACGGCACAACGACCGGCTCATTGACGCTAGAGACCTGCATTTGTATAGGTGAGATGGTGGGTCATGCCTGCCAGTACCGAACATTCACCTGATGAACATATCCAGTGCCGTGCAGCGTCGTAATGTTGCTGGACACGTTCCGTAATCCCATGGTTTGAATTGTTAGTTGGGCGATTGCCATTTTTTGCCCATGTGACCAGCCCCATGACCCTATGAAGTCAGTTCTCTTAGTTTTGTATCCAGAAACCCGCCCTACAAACTCGGAGCTTGGTGGCATGTGGGTCCTGCATCGGCGTCGCCGAGTCACCGCGGACGAGTTCGCGTCCGCGTCAGGCGTGGGTTCCGTCCTACCTTCGCTCCTTTTGCAACTTGTCGCACGGCCGTGCCACCTGCGACCTGGCCGGTGGCACCTCCCATTGCCCCTCGGCGCTACAAGCCAAGCCGAGGGAATGAGGCGGAGAAAATGATCAGAATGGCGGTGCCTGGCACCTCCGATGGGGAAACCCAGTGAAAAGAATGGGAAGTGCCGGCCGTAGTTCTCATGAGTCTTTTGTATAATTACTGTAATAGTTACATATACTGACTATTTACTAATGGTGCACTAATTATGGACTTACAGCATGCCAGATGCCAGAGTGGCAAGTTCTGAACCAGTCAGGATCAGCCAGGTATACCTTCAATACTTCAATTGAACACGTGCAATCACTGTGTCACAGCCATACAGAGCCAGTGCTGCCATGTTTTGCTCTTAGGGTGACCCAACAAAGAAGCACTCAACATATTTGACTGCTTGCCAGTCTTTTCGGCCATCTAGATCAACGACTCGGGGACCCGGCCCTCCGGCTTTGCAGTCACCAGGCATTCGCTTGATGCACCGCCAGCCCTGGCAGAGCATCCCAGAGATCCGCCGTGACACCTCCCGCTTCATGTACAGCCTCATGGGCATCTCGTTGTGTGTTTGGCCCTGCGGGTCCTGCGGGTTTGAACATGTCGCTGCCAGAGCCTGAAGGCATCTGAAGGCGAGAAGAGCCAATGCAGCTGTTGGCGAGATTAAGTCCGATAATCCACAGGGACTGGCAACAGTACGATATATGTATATATATATAGATACCTCAAGGGCTGACGTGGCACAGCTATGGTCTGTATAGACAAGAACATCGGAAGACTTTTGGCATCCTTTGGCATTAGGGCATTAGGTGGGTGGTCCATGTTGTCTCCGCGGTCATCGGGGGACTGGGCGGTTTCCGTCTCCGCTGGGATTTTCGATCGACCCAGGAGAGTTGAAGCGCTGGGGCATGGATTTCCGGATGACGCCACAGCCGGTCCATCTGGAGAACTACACTGGAAACCAGGACTGGACCGAGCGGCTGCTGCACAAAAGCGGACAGGAATCGCAATAGGCGATAGGCTATAAGCAAGCTGACCCACATGTTGCTACCAAACAAGTGGGCCAAGATGAGAAGATGAGGATCTTCTGTAGCAATCTTCAGTTGAGGACATTGGCGATGAGGGGAATTCCGGTATAGTAATTATAGTAATTCATATTGTAGGTGGAATAGGGGCACATTTGGAAAGTCCAGAACTTTTCTCAAAGAGTTGCCAGTCATTTTGTCCCAAGCAGGTTGGTCAGGGCTTCCCTCACAATTCACAGAGGAGTTGCGAAGGTGTTTGGCCGTGCAGCGCACGTGAACAGTAGAATTATATACTATTGTTGACATGACTTCCTGTTGTTGTTTGCCAGCGTTCCCGAAAGTTTTTAAAGCTTTGCAATGAGCAGGGTGAAGGTCCTTATTTTTGTTGCTGACAATGCCCCCCCATCCAAGATTGGAATTGAATATCAAAGTGTGAAGGGCCCATAGGCCATGTTCAACCCACATGCAAGCCAGTAGAGGCTCAACAGATACTTTGTTGAAAAGTTTTTTTCCTTTGGGAGCACTACGCCGCAGTGGCTTTTGCTGAGAAATGCTTTGGTGAGACAGATGCCTATCCTAAACGGCCTTTATATTTATATGTTTTCTTTATTCTCGGTTGTCTTCCCACCTGGACAGAATGAAAAACATGTGTTAAGTGACAAGTGTTTAAGGCAATCCATGTTTATCAGGCTTCTTATCAACTTATCGATTGTTGCTGGGGGGGAGCGGCATCGATGACGCTTTGCTTTGAGCGCACACGTTTCATTTGTTCCACATGATTTATCAATCTGTTGCGCACGTATAGGAGCCCCCTCAGCTTTGGCGGAGTCGGACCGCCAGTGGTGTTTTTGCAGAGCAACTCGACGCCATCGCACGGCGTGTCAGGAATCAAGGTTTCGGAGGATGCAACAGGAAAGCTCCAAACCAAACAATGCTTGTTGTAGGTGCGCGGGTCTACTGTACCGGTGGGGTGCTAACCTGGGCAGGAACGGTATTTGGAACATTTTTGGGCAGTGTCGATGCCTATGATGCCTTGCACGGTCATGGACTAAAGAGGAGCGGGAGAAGTACAGCTACATCAAGCTTTGAGATAAACCGCCGCAGCACGACACAAAAGTGGAATGACATGCGAGTCCTTTGTGAAAGGGCATTTCGCTCACAATTCCGAGGGCTTTCTTCAGCTGTGTCAACGCGTAGGTCGGTGGGTGCTGGTGAATTTCGTGTGGGTGCTGGCAGGTGATCATTGAAAACATGTGTGCAACGTGCTTTCGGTTCGGCGTGGTGAAGTGGGGCCTGCTTCACCACAAACAAGTGAACCTGGTGGGAGGAATCACCGCGCCCATTGGCGGTGCGAAAGCCACACCATGATGGCGGCGGTTTTCGCATCGAACGGCTTGAGCAGTTTTGTGGTTTTGAGCGGGTGACTCAGACCAATTTATGCCGATGTAGTCGGGGCACATGTCCTTCACGTAAGTCCGTTGGTACTACATCCAACTCTCCAATGTTGAAATGATAACGCGGGGCACGACCAAGGGTGTGGTCAACAAACAGGTGTGCGGGTGCCCGATTAGGAGTTCCATTATCATTACCACTGAAGGAACTGGCATGGGGTGTCGTTCCTTTATGGTGCACAAATGTTTCCTGCTGATCCTGGCCACAAAGGAAGAAAGGAATCTTTCGATCATGGTAGTTAATTAAATGTATTTATTAGAAACAATAAGCTACTAGGAACAAGTGCATCGCTTCTAGTAACAAGTGTCTTACTAGTAGTAACAAGAAGCTATTAGCGTAGTTAATAAGTTAATTACATGTATTTACGGTGTTGGGCGACTTGGTCGGACCGATGTCTTCCCCTCAGGTCCTGCAGCGTGGGGCCCACCTTCCAGCGAACGCACACCAGTGGTCTCTACGTGGGCTGAGGCGGAGCTGCCCAGAAAAGTCAGTCGCTAACCTTGAAGTATTAACACACCTTACTACTAGCAACTAGTAGAAAGAAGCGATATTTTCAGGCCTTCCCATGGACGTAGATAGTCCTTTTCCTCCTGTCCAGGGAAACGGAAGGGTTCAGGATACAAGAGCCACATGTCGGCCAATGGCACAGCGAGACTGTCCCTAGGAACAAGGGAAGGGAAGCACTTTGCCGTGGCAGGTTTGGGTCGGGTGGTTTTGCCAGTCCGGAGGGCTTGGTTCCCGGCCATGGCACGTGTGGAGGCTGTTTGACACGGTGTTCCACCTGTGTTTGGGTGCTGTCCCCCTCTTGAACTCTTCGGAGAGTATCTTCAAGGAGTTGCCCAAGGGCTTGGTCGCCCCTCGTGTGACGCAGAAGTATTTCCATGTCAAGCCTGACGCCAAACGTGCCCTTTGGCGTCAGGCTTGACTGATGTTGGTTCGTTGAACCGCTTGTACCAGATCTATATACATCAAGAACCCCGACACATCCATACAGCAGCAGGGGCTCAACTTGATGTTGCACGGTTTGAATCAGGATGCTGGAAGTGATGGCACTCATTCGTTGGCAGCTTCCAGCTGAAGCTTTGGGAGAATCGGACCTTTTGCTCTGGCTGGAGGTGCAGCTTGTGACCTGTGTCTTGTCATCTGCGATCCAACGACGGCCACCAACTTCGACGCCAGGCCGCCCACGAAGCCGTACGAAGCCCTCTTTTCTTCGCAGCAGGGACCGTCGACCCTCCTTGGCGCACAAGGATCACAGATCCTTCTTGGAGCATCTATCTATACCTCGAGGCTACAGCGCCCAGGGCAGGGGAAGCAGTCTTATGGCTGCAGGCATTGTCACATGCGCCGACAAGACGAACTGCGGGCCCAATTTGGCCGGCGCTCGACATTGCAAGCTTCAGGCTCTCGGTAACATCCTCATGCGAACAACGCGGCCAATTGGTAATTTACTTGGACTTGGAGCAATGGAATTGGCGGACGGGCTCTAATTAACCGGCGCCCATTGACGACGCCTCCCCAACGAGGCCATGGTTTTGTTGGTTCTTTTCTGGCCGCGCTTTCACTTCGTAGATGCGATTTGAAGGCCGCGTTTCGGCGCGCACCTCTCCACCATACCCGTCTTGAAGCTCATGCAAGAGCTGAGCGGATTCAGCTCTTCCACGAGTTTTTCAAGACGGGTGTGGTTGGTATGTGTGGTGACATTGAGGGACCGTGGGGCAAGCGCATAACTCCCCTGAAACATTGCAAGTCTCACTCCACACAATGCAAGCAAGCTGACCAAAGGAGGAAGTCCATCCTTGTGGCGACCTCTTAAAAGGAGGGGGTGACAGATAGTTCAGGAGGAAAGACATGGCTTCGAAAAAAGGATCATTTTCCAACCCCTGGTCAACTGGAGATGCTTTGTCTCTATGATTGGCCTTTCCTGGAGCCATTCTATAGACAGGGGTTGTGGACACAAGAGTGGGCAACCTGGAATGTCATTAATTAGTTATTAACAGTATATAATATATAGAGGAAAACCTGGCGATGCCGTTCAGGAAAAGAAGATGTGTATATATACATATGGAAACCTGGATACACAAATGATACGCATTCATTTGCTGTATTCTATTATTCATTCATTAATGTCCATTTCATGGTGGCAATGTATTGTCCGCTAATCTGTAGAGCGCAGTCATGAAATCCGGTTTTCCATGGTTTTCCATTTGGTGGGAAGAATCATTATGATCCAGCATGCGAAAAACAACCTGTCAACCTACCTGGTTGTCAGGTTATCCATCATAGAGTTCTTTGTTTCGGTTGATCCTTCGGCGAAGCCGCCGTTTCACCGCCAGCTTGGCTGTCGACTCATTTTTCAGATGCTCGGGGAAGACTCCAACGTAGAGCCTTTCCCCACTCATCCAACAGACCTTTACAGACACCGCGAATCGATGGTTGGTGGAGTAGGACTGTCACCGTTGAATCGATGAAACTTGAGTTGGACTGCTGCCCAGGTGTCACTGGATTCTCCCTCTCGAGGCGGGCTGGCAAGTTCAGGGCTCCAAACCCTCCGATATAAACCCCGAACATCCAGCTCCAAACGAAAGAGGGCAGGATGCTATGCGGGCTTGGTTTGCGGTGCTTTTATCGTTGTACAGCATTGTGTATTTCATGCTGTAGTGGTTTTTGCTGTTTCAGGTTCTGTTTGGTTCTGCTATATTTCTATTTGATTGTATTTTGATTGAGTCAAGAAACTGTCCGTCGCTAATGAACACAAATATAGGATAATATGGGTAAAAATGGACATCGGAGCCAATTCTCAGCAATATCAGAAGAGAAAACCGGCACTGGGGATTGGCTTCAAGACTTGTGCATCGGCAAGATCCTCCTTTTGTGATTGGCGACCTGTAGGGTAGTGATAATAATGTATATAATATATTGTCTTTACAGTAGGTGTTTCAAGTATTGTTTTTACTTCTTTCTTCACCGCTTTGGTGTGGACTATAGCCGAGAAGATTGGATGCCATTCATGTAAATTCCGCCAAGATGTTGTCCCTACATTTGAAACATACACCACCAGCCCAGGCTGGTGTCAATTTCAACATGGAAATTACTGAGAGTCGACAGGCACCAGCATAATATCAAATGGCTTTGCACAGCGAATCCACCTATCGTCACCTTCCATCACGCTTTCTCCTGCGCGGCGCGCCAGCGCGCCAGGGCCGCTCATCGGACTTGCCCGGGGGTCGACTGGGGGCAGCGCGATGAGGTCGCTGCTGAAAATGTGTTGTGAAGAATTCTGAAGAATGTTTGGCAGGATGACTGGCGTTTCTATCCAGGCTGTTTTGCGTAGTGAGCAGTGAGGAAGAACAGAGATGCCTAACAGGGCCTAACAGGCTTTCCCATTTCCACTGGAACCGCCCACATCAAGCATCGAGGGTTTTCATCCTGAATGAGGAAGATATTGGGACGTATAGATTGTGGCGTTGGTTTTGAGAGGCACGACACCCTCCGCCTCAGGCAGATCAGTTCTTGAGGTTTGTTTTGATGCTTTGCTGGTGTCCGGAACGTATGTTAGATAAGGACAGCCATATTTTTGCCTGATGTTTTCCATTTTGAGAGGGCTCGTCGCAAAGTTGCCTCTGAACAACTTGGCCAATGTCCACGAGATTGCACGAGGGCAGGTTTGCAAGTATAGTGATGCCGGATGCCGGTTGGAATGAGGCTTGACATGACTTCACTAGCCGACTATAGATGAAACATGATGGAACCACCCTTTGAATGAACACATCAGCGCGCCTTGCAAGGTTCCGAAAAGCGGTCAGAGTAAGGTGGGGAGCCATAAAACGACCCACACAGCGCAGCAAATCCATGCAACTTCTTCGTGCTGGATGGAAAGACATGTGATGGAAAGAAATTCATCCTCATTCCCGCGAAAGGCATTGGGTCATTGGGTGACATGTTGTGACCCTCGGTCGTTTTTTCTTCAGCTTTTGGGATCGCGCTTTTGGTGCGCCATTGCTCCGTAGTTTTGCACTGCTTCACCGCTGTAGCAACTCGTTCCACTGCACAGTGAAACGGACATCGGCAGCAAATAGCTGCTGGAGCAGTTGGAACTGCTGCAGGGATCATGATCATTGCTTGCATGAAAAGTTGAGTTGGAGCACCATGGAGCGAGTTTTATCAAGTTGTGCCAAGATCTATATGTACAGAATCATAATATATATATATATATACACCTATATTCTTATACATCATGCCCACAATAGACCTCACTCCCAACAGTTGCCCTCGGCCTCGCTGACCATGTTGTTGAATGATGGTAATCAACTTAGACAGGCTCAAATGTGAGCTGTGGTGCAACGAGGATTTGCCAATGGCAATGCTGCACTCAATGGGTTTGGCATGGTTTCACCATGCCTGAGGGATGACATGATGAGTTCTGTGTTCTTTTTGTTGCACCCAGGAATGTTAACATGGAACCTGAAAGTGGACCTTTGGAAGACTATGTCCCTCTTCAACCCAGTGGTTTTCCTTCATTGCTAGCAGCCCCTAGTAGCGTCCTTGCTCCTTGTAGCGATGCCAGGAGCCCCTAGTAGCGTCCTTGCTCCTAGGGAGTCATCAGATCATCAGTGAATCGGTCGGTGGCCCATGGGCCCATGCAGCATATCCCGTGATGCCGAGGCCTGCGAAGCCTCCTGTCATGGCTCACCGCACAGCCCTGGTGGGTGTCGGCATATGCCTAGCACTGAGCAAAAGGGAGAAACGGCCGAGCAGCCATGACCTCGCTCTTAAAACGATGAGTGTGTGGACATGTCTACTAAATTGAGGGAGCCCGTGCAAACTTGGAGGGCTGATGGCTGATAATTTGTGTGCTGCTTGTTTTCCTGCCAACATGGAGGCTCTAATATATAGGCTCAACAATGGGAAGAAAGATGCAATGACATGGAGCAGAGTAACCCCAAAGTGCCGGCATACCCATTTTGCGGTGGGAGATAATGGGAGGTATGTTATGTTTTGGGTACGTTACCAAGGACGCTACTAGGGGCTCCTGGCCTTACTACTAGGAGCAAGGACGCTACTACGGGCTCCTGGCAATGCTACTAGGAGCAAGGACGCTACTAGTAGCTAGGGCATAACTAGTAGCAACAAGGCCTGCATGCTTTACCCCAACTTGAAAGAACAAAGCCACGTGTCTCGCCGAGGTGTGTGCTTTTGGCATGAGCATCATCAGCTTTGCAGGCTGAAGAGCATCTCTTCGTTCGGTTTGGTCTCCAGTCCTCTCCTCTTCCAGCCTCCCTCTTTCAGGATCTAGTCAGTGGATTTCTTCCACTTCTGGGGTTGAGCTGTGATAGCAGTTTTGTCAGCGATGCGCCATCATTCAGTGCATTTCTCGCAAGTGCACGTGGAAGAATTGCATCTTGCATTGGGGAGCTTTTGCTGGAAGACTGACGTTGCATGTTGCGTTGTGCTGTAGAATGCACATGTGCTATTGGCATGCAGCTGGGGCTCCAGCTGCATGCTCGAGGTGATTATATATGATTAAATGATATGCTTAATTAAAATTAGACACTCCAAACCCATTCTCTGAAGGTAGTTGGACCCTCTGGTCTTTGGGATCCAGTTTTCGTTTCCAACGGATGGATGAGACCCTGGTCAGTCATATATTGCATATCATGGTATGACTGGGTCATTCTAAGGCCCTCAAACGTGGGAAGTGGTGGCAAATCCACACAGATCGCCACCCCTGAAAGGGGGTTCCAGGCGCTGCTTTGATGATCCCCTTGCAAGTGCGTAGGCGCGAGCGGAGGGCTCTGAGGCATCGGATTAGCCGCTAGCGAACTTGGCCTCTTCGTGCGTGGTAGAGGGGTCAAATGTATGGTTTACATCATGAGATTTGGCACGGGACTGATTTAGGAACTGACATGCCTTGCCAAACGTTTTGGTGGGGTGGGTTCGGCCATCCATGGTCCGGTGAACGGCATGACAGAACTGCGTGCTGAAAAAGGACACATGCCTGCAGCAGAGGCTCAAAAATTCTGACCTGGTGCTGACACATTTCACCCGGAGATGGCGTCGTTTGTGTTATACTGGGGCCACATGAATCGTGGCGGACGCTTGCCGATGACAAGGTAAGACATGTACTGATCGGGTACTGTACTTGAGTTTAGGTTTGGTCTGAGTGTTCTACCCCAATAGCGGGCTGTTAGTATTAACTGAGGCCAGGATAACCTCAAGTTGTTCATCAACGAAGACCAGACACCCTTTGCTACACTCAAGCACAGGCGACGGGTTGTCAAGATACCGATCGAGCTTCCAGACGTTAGCTGCAGAGTTCGATTCGAGGGGAAGCTGTGGTATGAAAAGCCCGACGGCAAAGGAACTCAAATTCTATTCAAAGCTTCTCGTGAGGCAGCCACCCTTGCAGACAAAGAAGTGGGCTTGGTAGCTGGAGCCATCGGAGCCACAATTGGGGAGTTTGAAGTCTTTACATTCATTCGGCAAACTGCAGAGCTGCCAAAGCCGTTCCAGCAAAAGTCTGGCCATCGGCGTGTGGAGATCTATGTGTTTGAGAACGATGCCACAATATCATACCAGGACGGTGAGGGTGCACATGAGAAGTCTTTGACGAAGCATTCAATTACTGAGCTTTTTATTCCTGGTACCTTCTGCTGCGAGTTGCCTGGGAAGATGAGGAGTCAATACGATATCCACGACTTTCACCAGAAACAATTCATGACCTTCTATCCCGGAGGGCCCGAAGACATCGTCTTCACCGAAGTGGGCACAGCTCGTGCCTCGCCAGAGCCGCCAGCGCCGCAAGCGCCGCAAGCACCCGAAGACCAAGCGCCATTGATAGCAGGCTCTCCCCAAGCACCGCGTGTGGAAGAAGCAGGTCTATGTGATGCCTGTCCTTGCAGCATCCAGTGAAGCGCAACTTGGACCACAAGTATCTAGGAATCTAGGTCATAGATGTATTGCCTCTATAAACCAGACCTTTATTTTTTGGAGTGTGAGGTTGTACAACACGTTACCTCAGCTTGTTGATTCTGCTTTCGCTCCAGGATGACACAGAAAAGAACGTGTGTGGGTGTGCGCAGGTTGAGCTCAGCTCATTGCTGTACAGGTCAGCTCATCGCATGGCGCCGGCATGCGCCGGCTGCCACGGAGAAGAAGGCCTGCCCTCACTTTTCCTTGGTAGCCCCTTTTTTGTACCGCTGAGCGGAAGTACATTTCGACCACATGTCGCATGTCGCGCATCAGTCAGTGGCTTGCCATCGTTGACACTGCCCCCCCGTGCATTTGCAAGTGCAGTGGGTTCAGAGTAGATTCTGTAGATGGACTAGTGACTAGTAGATGGCACAATCCCCAAAAGGTGGTTTGCATGGACCCCCCATCTACAGGACATCTTCAATTTTGTGCCATCCACTCTGAAACCACTGTACCGTTGTAGACAGCTTCAAGACTGGGCAGAAGCACAAGACACTCTCGACCAAGCCGAGGCCGAGGCCAGGTTCTTCGACTCCTGAGCCAAAGAAACTCCTGAGCCAACTTCTCATCAGATCCTATCATGAAATCGATACTGATTAAGCAAAAGGTTCTCCCCTTGATTAAGTTGTTCAATTTGGTGTTTGCCCTCTTGTTTTTGAGTTGAATGTGATGCTTCTTTTGAGAGCTTGGCGCTGAACAATGCTAATATGTTGACAAGGTTTATTTGCTTCCTCCTTGGCATGTCAGCACTGCAATCAGCCAAAGTGTGCCAAGTTGATTCTTGCCATTCTACAGTTGAAAGATGTTGAAAGCCTGCATGTCCAGATTCCTGAAATCAGGCACCACCAGTTGCAAGAATCGGGGAATCATTTGTCATTTGTTCCACGGAAACCAGGAAATTAGCAAAAACTTGCTCTAGAAGTGGGTTGAAGACGATCATCTCCACAGCTGCGGATATGAGGAGGTCTGACTGTTTGATCAAAGCTGAACACCATCCTCACGACCGTGAGGAAGTAAGTGTCCTCATGACGGCAAGGTCTCAGCCAAAGGCTTCAACCATACCGTCAGGTGAAAATATGATGTATTCCCGTTGCTTGCTGCAATCAGGGAGAGTGATACAGGTGTTTCGAAGATCTGTGCTGTTTGGACGGCCCCTTTCGCGTGTTTGTTTCTGAGGTTGGGACGACAAAGGCTATGCCATTTTGAGAGGGGTGGCGAGCGTTCAGAGTTTCATATATTTCCCCCGTATAGGTCACCACTCTGGAATAAGCGAGCTGCCCTTCAAGAGGCAAAATCTTTGCAAGAACCCAGGGGTGGGCTCTGGAAGACAACAGTACATTGATCAAGCGACGCAAAGCACCCAACTAAATCATGATGGGTTCCTCAACAGTTTTTTAGGAAGGTAGAGCCACAGTAATAGAATCAACCCAAACAATATCCAAACAATATTGTTTTTGCATATATAGTCCCTTTTTCTTTCGCGTTGCGCACAGGATTGCAGCCATGGTGGAATACTCTAGCTTGACCTTTGCAGCCACGGTGCTGTCGCCCAGTTGTTGGAAGAGGTTGGAAGGTTCACGGGTGGTGTTTCAAGTAACAGGACGTAAGACGACTTGCCTTCTCGATGGCACTATTGGGGCAGAAGGGTTGGTGTTTACGGGTCCATGGCATGTACTGTTCAGGGTTCGACCCCGAGACGCTGACACTCCTGGGAGAGGTTTGAGGCAAACCGAGTGAAGCTTGAGAAGTTTTGAATTCATTACTGAATGCGCAGGTTCGCGCGGAAAGATGTGCAAAAGCAAAACAAGTTGTTCAAAGACAGGCGTGTCAAGCCAAAAGGGTTCCAACATGAGCCATAATGTAGTTCTACAATGGCCCCGGACTGCTTGATAGGCAGGCTCACACCAGTCTCGGGTCCCTGTCATTTTTGCTTCCAGTAGATTGTCCGGGGATGACTAAGATGAACTGTACCGATAGTTGGGCAACTGGTAGCAAATCCCACAGTCAACGGCCGTTCCAGATCCAGCTGTCGAGACTCGAGACTCGCAGAAGAACCATGTATCACAAATCACCGGCACCGAAGATCACTGAATCAAGCTTTGGTTTGTTTCATGATGTTTTATGTTTTTACCCTTTCATTTGAACATATAGGAACCTACTCCAACACACCATCTTTGGTTGCCCAGCCCAGGGCCATCCGACTCCGTCCTCGATCGACCAGGTCTTGGTGGCCGACGCCTTGGTCCACCTGCTGCCGCATGCGCTGGAGGCAGCTCTCCGCGGACGGAGACGAGACAGCCGCTCGCTGTTGCGGCTTCCTCCGAGAAAAGGACCCAAAGAGAGAGAGAGAGGTCAGAAGAGCGGTTTAGGATGGTTTAGGGTGTTTAGTTGATTTTTAGGTGAAATGCTCACATGCATCAAAAACTAAATAGCGACCTATCGAGAGAGTCGGTTCCGAGACTCCAAGGTCCAGAGCTGTTGTTTGCAACAAGAAATTGAACAAGTCCAAAGGATCACAGGGAAGACAGGGCAAGAATCTCTACGTGCTATTTGGTCAAATTCTGTGCGGATCATTCTGCTCATGAGTCCTAGCGTTGGCTATTGCATCCTGGACGATGGGACGCCCCAAATCACAAGAACCGATCGACGGGAAAAAGAAGCAAATACTTTGGGGGATTGTGCCATCTACTCTGCAACCACTGTTGGCGAGTTTTCTAGAAACCTCCGCCGAGATGTGGGTCCTCGCCTTCGGCGCCGTCCTCGGCGTCAGGGAGCTGACCATGAGACCATGACCACCGTGGGGATCGCAGCGACCGCTGGTTGTGGCGGACTCAAGCGATGGCTGGGTGTGGACAGGACCAGCACCGGCTAGTTGGTTTTTTCACTTTTCACTGTTCAACCCTAGTTGGGCGACAGCCGTGTGGCTGGGAGTTTTTGTCAGCATGAATTTAGATCGGTTCAGAATTGCAACTGGTTGAACTTCGAGGGGCATGTGCGCAATGGCCATACGGTGTTGTCGGCGGTTGCCACCTGCAAAGGCCAGGCAACAGGACCTAGGGTGATCATGAGTCGTGAGTCATGAGGGCCCAAGCCACACCACGCTCCCCCTGCACCTACTCTTATTGGGACCTTATCAATGCCCTATCTAATGAGGAGGGTGATTTGGACAAACCTTTGTCCTGTGGTAAGCCTAGCCATGAATCCCAGCTACTGCTATGGAATGGCAGTTCTGTTGTCATAATGTCATAGGGCATGCTGCAAGCCAATGTTGATCGTTTGTCCGGGGTTGCCTTGGACACACACCACCAAAGGCGAGCATCAATGAGATTGCTGCAGCCTCATTCTTGCATGAGTGAGTATATATATATAATTGCATCGCTTCAAACCACATGCTGCCATGCTGTCTTTACTGCATGTCAGTCCCGGGTTTCGCACATGGGTTAGATTGAGACAATCCGTTCTTTCAGACTCGATTCTGACTGACGATGCCCAAGATTCTGGATCTACGAACGCCCAATCCTTTGGGCCTTGGGGATGTTGCCAGGATCCCCTATATATTGTGTGTTTAATATACACTTGAGTGAGGGAGGGAGTGAGTGAGTGAGCTGCTGCCTTAGGCCTTGCGATCATGAGCATCCCAGAACTGGTCGAATGGCACCATGGCCATCGCCACGAGAAGAAGAGTGCAGAAGATGCAGAAGGCCCGTCCCAACGTTCGGTGTGTGGTCCTGTGCTGGACATGTCAGCGACGTAGGAGTTTGAAGAACCCCTAATGATTCACATCATCACCTCTCATGATTCTCATCGGAGTTTGGTATCCAAGTCATCGTTGTTCACCCCATGATCACCCCATCATCACTCTTTGACTTGGGCCACCCGAAAGGCAGATTGATCCGCCACTTGGCCGACTTGGCCTCGTGACGACTCGTGACGACTCATATTCCTTCGGGATTCCGGTCGGTCGTTTCTGTTGGAGAACGGACCGCATCATCTGCATCGAAGTACCGACCGCACGGCAAACCCAAGCACTGAGTGTGTTTATGATTCTACGGCGTCCTTGAGACCGTTGGACTCTGACCACGGACCGCGGACTGCCCGGCGGACTGCCCGGCGGACTGCCCGGGCGTTGAAGCCATGGGGTCATCTTTTCTTCAGCTGGCGAATGCCCGAAGTTCAAAACAACATCAAGCAGTCCCAGAAATTCCAACGGAGTTCAGAGTGAGTGGATAGTGGGCACCCGAACTCATGTTCAAGGTCTATGTTGGTTTCTCATGGTTTCTGATCCACCCAACCTTAGGAAATTAATCAGGGTCTCCGCCGGTTTCGTATGCGAATGAATATATCTGGAACTAATTTATCCAATTCGTTGAAAATCACAGAGGTATACCCCACGGTATACCCCTCAAACGGAATAAAAAAGACAGGTTCTGACAAGACAGGCTCGACTCAACAGGGCCAACAGGGGGTCTAATTGGAAGGATTGGAACTGGTGGATGATCAATGTCTGGCTGTGGCAGAAAGAATCACAGGGTGTGGCAGGAGTTAACCACCAGTGAATTAGTATTCACGTGAACATGTCCACTGTAAAATCGGTAAAATGAGAGGGGTATGCCTATGATATGTTGCCTAAAAAGTCCCCTACCCCTTGAAGGGGTCAGGACCTAATTTTATAGAGAAAACATGGAGGCTCCCTTAACTTATTACTCAGGGGTGCATGTAATAGCCAGGAATAAATTTCTAGGAACGTGATGGAAACGTTTAGTGAGGGGATCGCTGTTGATGTATGCAACCAATTAGATAGATCATGTGGATCATGACTGACAGATCAGATTAGACCTCAGACCTGGGGAAGGGTGCTGAAAAGCGCGAAAAGATGCGCGGAGCTGTGAATATTATATATATAATCAATAGGTGGTTTACGTCTCATGTACTTTGGATTG